AAAAAAAAAAAAATAACGAAAAATATAAAAAAAAGTAAAAATTAAAAAAAGAACAAGAATGTAGTTTTTTTTAAAGAAAAATTTGTGTTTTCCATATTGTTTACTCATTTGAATATTGTAAAAATACAATTGAATCGTCCTGGGGCCTTTAATTTATCATTGGACTTGGTAAATGAAAAAGATGTTTATATAAAATAAATAAAAATTTTGGTAAACAGTTAAAAAATACACGTTACACGTGAATAACCATTATTACATAAAATACAAGTTCTTTACACGGGGTTTAAAAGAGATAAGAAAAAAATTGCCCAAATTTTAGTCAACTCGACACATAGAATCGCAAATATTATACGTAAAAGATGTCACAATCGGTTCCGATGAGCCAACGCGAATCAACAATGAGAACAACAACAATAACTCACCAGCTGATAGCGCTGGCGCCCCTGTGCCTGGGCAGTATCGACGGATGGTAGCATATACTCCTGTGCTTCGGGTGGTTGATCACCTCCATCGGTATGAATTGCGTGCAAAAGGGCAAAACGTTGAGATCGACCTCGATGCTGCGGTAGAGATCGAGTACCTCGGGCAGGGGCACGCCCTTGCACCGCCAGGCCTTGATCTTGAACACCGGCGTGCCATTCGCCTTGGCTGTTATTGCTGAAACAAAAATAGACATTTTTGGGTAAATTTTAATTGGTTCTCATTCGCTCATCTGTAAATAATGGCAGTTTTTGTGGGGGCCTTACAAAGGGCAAAAAAATAATTTAATCTATTTGCCGTTCGAATGGTATAAAAAATAATTTTCCTCGAAAAAGCTAGACGTACAATGATTACTTGGAAAAGTTTGCTTTGGATAAAATATAATCGCTCGCGTGATTACTTGCGATTTTGAGGTTTGTGATAACGATTTTTTTTTTTTTTTTTACGACTTCCTACTGCTGGATAGTGGTTGAATATTTATATTTATCACGTAATTTTATTAATTTTTCCTCGAGCCGTTTAAAAATAATAAAAATTTTCGTTTAATAATTTGAAAATGTTAGTTCCTGGTAGACACTTATTAATTAACTATTCACCAACATGTAGCAATAATAAAACTGTTTGATGACAAAAAAATGCATTTTAAATTAAAATTAGTGCTCTAAATACCACTTGGATTTTTAAAAATTTTGATGATAAACTTGAAGTTGAAGTACACTACTTGAATTTTTTTTTTCATTTTTCAAGTTCCTAAGTATTGGTGAAATATCAATGATTTTCATTAGCAGTATAAAGTATTGAATAATGCATAGTTTTTAAATCTATAAAAAAATTTTTGACCCTGTTACCGTTTTTAATGAGAAATAAAATATTTTTTATTTAGTCATTGAAAGTAGTTAGTTATTTCAATGTTAAAAAAATATGATTAAAAAAATTATTATACACAATTTTTTTTCTCAATTGGGTACGTTTGAAAATGTTT